ACGACTGGCGCAGATGCCTCAGATTCCTGGGCGGTAGCGGCGCGTCCTCGGAAGGCGAAGGCCGCGAGCGGGATCGTCCCATTGGCCAGGATGGATCCACGGGCGTCGAGGGAAGCTTCTTGTCGATCGTCGCTGGCATCACCGGCGTCACTGGAGACGAGGCCGACGACGAGGGCTCACGCGTGGCCCAAGCTGGAGCCGACTGCGGAGGCGTGGGCGCGAGCCTGGACGGACGGAAGTCGTAGCTGAATGCGTCGTGGGTGGTCGAGAGGTACGGCGAAGACAAGCCGGCGGCGCTGACGCTGGTGCCGATGTAGTTTTCGGGCCAGATGTTGCTCCTCGCCTGCGCCAGGATCTGCTGCGTAGTGAGGGGCGCGGTCGATGCGTCGGACAAGCTTGAATGCTGCGCAAGCGTCGGGGTGACCGGTGGTTCCGCGACAAACTGTGGCGAGAACGAGGGCCCAGGGGAAGAGCCGTTCTGAGCCGGAAGCGTTGTGGACTCTGGGCCCTGAAAGGGCCTGGTCGTGAGGCCTGGGACGGGCGGCAAGGACACCACCTGCGGAGACGGAGGCAGGGGGAAGGGGAACTCGGTTCGATCTGCGAATGCCGACGCTGGAGAAGCGAGATCGCGTGCGGTGCCCGGGGTCGAGGGCGACGCCGACTGACCGCTGAGATTGGACATGCTCTTCTTCCTGAGCGACGGAAGGCCGTTGAGGAGCAATCGCTTGGACACGGATCCAGCCGATGGCTTTGACGGCACCGGCGCGGCCTGGACAGCGGCACCTTGCGAAAGGCGCGACTTGCTGGAGCGTTTGGACTGCCTCCTACCCGCTTCGGGAGCCGGCTCCTTGGCAGCCACGGGTCCGGCGATGAGGTCGCGTGCGATGGCGATGCTGTTCTTGCGGCTGTTGGAGAAGCTCTTCCTGCCCTTGGAGAAGGACTTGCGCGCACCCTTTGTGGAGACAGCCGACTCGCCGTCGGATTCCGATCCGGAGCTCCACCTGCTCTCGCCCACTGGCGCCTCGCTGGTGTGCGCCATGACCAAAGCCGGGTGAACCTCGGGGCCGTCCGAGACGGACGGGACCAGCGGCGGCGATGGAGCGGCCGGGTCGTCGCGCGTGTTGTCGCGGATGGCAAAGGACGGCGGGGCGGGCACGATGCTCTGCTTGCGCGATCGCACTGCGCTGCCAGCTTCGACTGGCTGCCTGGGATCCACGGTGTCTGCGAACGGAGCTTGCTCTGCTGGCTGGTTGGGTGCGAAGATGGCGATGTTGAACTTTGGCACCGAGGGCGCGGCCGAAGCGGGTGGTGTGGTTCGGGTATGCGACGGAGCACGCGCCGCGGGCTCGACTTGCGATTCGAGGCTCGACAGCGAGTCGGAGACTGTCATGGCCGTGCCGGCTCCTGCTGCTGAGGCCAAGGAGGACTTTCTGGTGGGGGGATGGTGCAAGAAGCCGAGCATGGTCTGGAGGCTGAGGCCTTCGGTAGACGAGCTCGTCTCGAGATCCTCGTACTCGAACGCCGCAGCCGAATCGGAGCCGGAGCTGTGTCGAGTCTGGCCTGCGAGATCCAAGGAGTCTGCGACACTGCTGGGCGCCGAGAGGCGGCTGGGTGGAGACTGGCGCATGATGCGATCGAAGATGGTGGCTTGTGCCGACGCGGTGTTGCATGTGGCAGTCTCAGCGGCGGGCTCTGAATGCTCGATGTGTGCTATCGCATCGCCGTGGGACTGGCTGCTGGCCTTGGCGGCGCTCTGATCTTGGTCGGACTCTTCTTCGGAGTCAAAGTCGTAGAAGGCGGTGCGGAGCGGTTCGGAATAGTCGGAAGCGGTTTTGGGCGCATCGGGGGCGGGGGCGGATTCGTGCCATGCTGGTGGCTTACCAGGAGATCGGGGATGCGATGCAGAGAGCGGCGACCTCTGGTTGGCAGCGGCAGCGGGGGAGCGCCTGCGACGCGCGTCGGCGGAGCCCGGGAGGGTGTCCGAGTTGCTGGTGGTTGGGGAGGAGGTGAGGACGAGAGGCGTCGGAGCCGCCTTTCTGCGGCTGAGGGAAGCAGCTCGCGATCGCTGACCGGAAGAGAAGCCAGGCGCACGGGTTGGGAGGAAGGAGGTGGTAGTCGATGGGCCGGCTGGCGCCGAAGACGGGCCGGGGGCCGCCGTGTCGTATTGGTCGCTGTGATCGACGGCCATGTCGGATCTGGCGCTGAGCGGAGGGGGTTGATAGGAGCTTTCCGCATATGCTGACTGCTGGAGCTGGTGCAGCGGATCTCGGGGAGTGGGTGTGGTTGAAGCCGATGCGGTTGGCTCCAGGAAGGAGCTGGCTTGGTACTGTGGTGTGGAGGCGATCTGTGCGATGAACTCCTCTGCCGAGAGGGGCGTTTGGCGTTGTGGTGGTGCAAGCGAGGAAGGGTCGGGAGACTGGAGGGTGGACGGGTCGAAAGCCGGGCCGCTTGGCATGACGGGCAGGGGCGATCGCATCTGGGGCGTGGTGCAACGCGACGACTGCTCGGATGCGGGGGTGGGCTGGGGCGAGGTGAAGGTTTCGAGCAAGCTCTCGCTCGGTCTGCGACCTCCGAATCTTCGCACGGCCGGTGGGCCGCCCGACGATACGAGGAGAAGCTGCTTGGGGCCCTGAGGAAGCGTGTCCCGAGGCATGGTGGCGGCGCTTACGAGCTGGGGAGACTTTGAGCGGAGGTAAGCCCTGCCCTGGTGGGACTGTGCGAGCTTGTCGGCGTGCAAGTTGTTGACGAGGGCTGGAGCGGTGGCGGGTGGATGGGGGTTGAGGGCGACGCCGCCGAGGCCGAGGCCGACGAGGAGGGCATTGCGATCTGCGCTGATGGGAGGAGGATTCCAGGACGGGGTGGAGTTGTAGACGGGGATGGAGGGCTCTGGCTGTGCGGGCGCTTGACGTTTGCGGACGAGATTGAGCTCCCTGGGTCTCCAGGTGTTTGGATTGCCGCTGGGCGTGATTGGAGTGAGAGGGTCGTGTGGGTCGTTTGCGTCGATCTCGGAGGAATGCGAGTGGGCGTGCGAGCTGGAGATGCTGTGATCGGTCTCGGCGCTGTTAACGTCGCTGACGGCGGGGCTGTAGTGGTCTATGGAGCTGTCTGCCGAGGTGTGCTTGTCGGGAAGGATGGTTTGGAGGAGGGACAAGGAGGAGGAGGAGGAGGGATAGGAGGAGAGGGAGTTGAGCGACTCGATCGAGTTGGAGGATGTGAAGAGCTGTGCGGTGGAGCGGGACGAGTCGGCGGATTCTGCCTGTGCGTGTGCGTGTGCGTGTGCGTGCGCGGAAGCCTTGAGCGAAGGGAGGGAGGGGCGAGCGAGACGTTCTGCCTGGGCGCGCGAGCGTGGTGGTGGCTGCGGGAAGAGTGTATGGAAGAGGTCGTCGTGCTGGTGGATGGAAGCAGCGTTGGAGCGTGTGGGCCTGGCCAGGTCGTAGGATTCGAAGGTGGGCAGCGGCATGTCGCGGCTATGCCGGTGTGTTTGCGTGGATGTGGACATGTTGAGTCGAGTCGAGGCTGGCTCGGGGCATCAGCTGGGCGTCATGGGGCTAGAAATGGGAGATGCAAAAGAGAACAAGACGGACGTGACGAGGAGTGGGCGATACCGAGAAGCCGAACGAGAACGGAGAAGAGGCGAAAGAAGGATGGCGCAGAGGAGTGGATGGTGGTGGTGATGGTGGTGGGGGGAGGGGGGGACAGCAAATCTCGGAGGGAAGGACGACGGCGACGCAAGGGGGCGCGAGCAAAGGCTGAGAGGCTCAGGGCTTCGCATGCACCCTTAGGCGGGGGGGTCGGCTGCCTGCCTGTGTGAGGGTGTGTGGGTGTGTGTGTCTGTGTGTGTGTGTCTGACTGTGCTATCGTGTCGATCATCTGCAGCGCTGCCGCTCACGGACGCTGATGCACGCATGAGCCGCTGCCCCCTTGGCCAGGCACGAGTGGATGGGTCATCCCATCCCCGTCCCGAGCAAAGCAAAGGTGGGCGATAACCTACAGTGCGGCACCACCAAAAAAAAAAAAAA